ACACTTCTAATTTTCAAAAATGATATCATCCCTTGTTTACTTGAATAAAATTATGCTTAATGATTATAAATTTTATTAACATAAATAGAATTAAATATTATGCATTAATCAATTGCTAATAATTAAAGTAATATTAATTAATAAAAAATTTTATTTTTTGGTATAATAAATAATCGATAATTCTTCTTTAATATATTGCATAGAATAAGAAAATATATAATGATTGAATACATTTACTATTATCATTATTTTTATCTTTCATATTTCTTTTATTATAATAATAAAATTTCATTGCATGAAATTATTTTATTATACTGTGATAATTGATTATTTTATCATTATTATGAATTATAAAATGATAATAAGATTACAATCATATCATCTCTTTAATTTCTGTTTATCATATATATTTAAATCTAATTGATATACTATAAAATTTATAACATTCATTTATATTTCCATCTTACCTATAAAATCATTTATATTCCCATCTTACCTATCAAAATCATTTACATTTCCATCTTACCTATTAAAATCATTTATATTTCCACTTTACCTGTTAAATTCTAATTATATAATTCGTAGTATTTATTGTAGTAAATTAATAAGAAATAAAATAGCCTAAGATTGATTCATTTTTACTTCGTATGAGATTTTAGCAGAAAAATATGAGCAAACAAATCTCCCAACTTAATTAGTCTCATTTCATTGATAGCTTGTCATATCTCTCTCATCAAGTGAAATGATCGATTTCAATGATCCTCTTATCTTACAGTATATGCTATACATATAATAAATAATATAAATGAAGAAGCATTTGTTTCAAATTTTTCTTTCCTAACTTTCACATCACTTTTTTTTTATTGCCACCTTTCTTTCCATTTCATTGAATATTTTAATTAGTATTATTTCATAGATAATCCTTAGATATGACTGATTTAATGCATATTCATACAAAATCTGTCATATATAATAAGAGAAAATCTGTCACATACTCATTCTCTCATCTTTTCATTGTCACTGTTATTGTCACCTTTCTATCCATTTCATTGAATACCTTAATTAGCATTATTTCATATTATAACTTTCCGGATATGACAGATTTCATATATCTTCCATATACATTACATGTAATGTTGAAAATTTGTTGAAAAGAAAAATGAAAGAATTGGGGAAAAAAATAAGCGATGAAATTTGATGAGAAAATTTATTAACAAATTTAATAAAAGATTAAAGAGTGTGTAAATGGAAGAGAGAGTAAACATTTGTAGGAAATTTTTTCAATACTTTAAATAAAATTTGAATTGTTCGAAAATCAAAAATTATTTATTACCATTTTACTATTATTATTATTCGTATGTATTATGTATATATATATATAAGTGTAAATATACTTTGTATATAATTGATTGTAATGAATTAATTCAGTTAATCATTTCCTATTTTTTTTCCTCCCCCCCCCCCCGATAAGTGGAATGAGAGAAGTATAGACAAGAGTACGAGGAGAGGCGGGTTAAAGCGGGACAATCGGGGGAGAGGAAGAAGAGGGAGAAGTAAAGGGAAAGGAAAGGGTTTGTGGTATGTTGTTGGTGATGATGGTGTTTAATGGTGCCATTTGCTAAAATGCCTCTACCGCCGTTATTTGGTTCCTGTTTATTCAATGTTCCATTCCATTCTCGATGCTCTTTTCTCGTTTCTTTTAATTTTCAATTTCACTATCATTTATTTCATACTTCTCTATTATTTATTTAGGTTAAATCAATAATAGGTATTTCATTCTACTACTACTAGCAGTATGGTAAAATGAAATACCTATTATTGACTACTAGTACTACAGCTATTACTCTAATACTACAACTGATACTAATAATACTAGTACTAGTACTACAACCAATACTAGTACTACTACTATTACTACTACAACTACTAGTAATATTACTACTAGTACTACTACTACTAATATTAGTACTACAGCTAATAGTACTGTACTGGTACTAAGTAGTACTACTACGACTAGTACTGCTCGTGCTAATACTACTACAACTAATACTGTTCGTGCTAGCACTACTACGACTAGTACTGCTCGTATTAGTACTACTACGACCAGTACTGTTCGTGTTAGTACTACTACTAATTTATTATTATTATTTTAATGTTAACTATTATTTTTACCATTACTATTATTATTAATATTATCGCTACTTCCACTTTACTGTTAATTCTATTCTTGTTGTTGCCTATTTATAAAATAATACTATAATTTTATTTTTTGCATTCATATTTAATATTATGAAATTTTTGTTTTTAACATTAAAAAGTTATTGAAATATTTTATTAACAAAATTTGAATTCGAAACATGTATTCGATGAAAAAGGATTTCATCAAAATTATTCTTTTCTTATCAATATATATTTTCCCTCTTAATGAATTATTATTTAAATTAATATCAAGCGTAATAATGCTCATTTAAATTAATTGCATCTATCTTACCGTTACATTAAAATGATGAGACATTTTTAGAAAATTAAAATAAATTTTAAATGATGCATCATGCATTTGCAGTTGATGGATTACGAATGATTGAATTATATTATGAATGATGAAGACATACATACATACATGTGTAGCTGCATTTAAAATAAACTTTGCAATGAATTGAGTGGATATAAATGATATTGATATTGATATTGTATTTCGAATGATGATATTGCACTTTCAATGGATGCATGCATTTTGCATTTTGCATTTGAATGATCCATAAGCTATAGAATGATATTAACTTTTACAAATTCTTTCAATATTTTTTAATCATTCTAAATGAATTTGAAATTTAGCTAATTATTAAATTTTGCAATTTATTTCTTATAAACAAACCTTTTGCAGAGCTCATCAAAATCTCATTTCCTTACTTGGCTTTTTGGCTCAAAATTTTATTGTAATAAGCTCATATTGTTTGTCTTATCATTATCACCAAATATTTATATTCATTTTATTTCTGATACAATTTAAATTTAATTATTTCATGATAGCCAAATATTTCTATTCATTTCATTTCTGATACATTTCAAACTTAATTATTTCACGATAACCTAATATTTCTATTCAGCTTATTTTTGATATAATTCAAATTTAATCATTTCAGGATAGCCTAATATTCCTATTCATTTTATTTATAATACAAATTTAATTAATTACTTTGTTTCATTACTTCTTTTTTCGAGTTATTTAAGTATTTTATTTTTCAGATAATTTTTCTTTCCTTCAATTTATTTTAATTACAATAATAATAATAATTTTTATTATCATTTCTCTATAACTATAATCTCTTTTTCTCTCATATTTCCGATATATTTTTCGATTTTTTTGTTCTCTTTCTTTAAATAATATGAAAGTTATAATTCCAAATGTATGAATCAGATAGAGTGAATCACTGCTATTATTGTTGTTGTTTGTTAGTGTGCTTAATTTTATTACACCTGTTGATGAGAGATTATCAGTAGCGCTTTTTTCAATCATTCACACTGGTAATAACATCAACTGACACTTTCTGACAATTAATGATTTTTTCATTATTAACTTTTTATTGCTAATTATTTTGTTTAATGTTTAACTATGCTAAATTTTTCTGATAATATTATGTTTATACCTATTGATTTTCTTTTTTCATTCTTTTAGTTTAACTTTTTTTAGCTTAAATGAAATTAATTTATATTTTTTAAATTTTAGTTAATTGAATTATTTCTTGTCATATCATTGAATGTTACTATTTATAACAATTTACCTGTAATTATTTAATTAATTAAGTAACATCTATTTCATTGACATATTCTTTTAGTTATCACTCCATTTCTATCTTTTATTTCATTTCCCTTTTCAAAAATATGCTAATTCATTTTTCATCAAATCATTAATTCATTAATGCAACTTCATATAATTAATATAATCGTTTTTCTATACAATGAATACAATTTATCTTCTAAACTTTGCATATTATTTATTTTTTAATTATTATAACTATAAAAAGTATATCATGATTATTAATCATATTAAGTTATATCATGATTATTAATCACATGAAGTTACATCATGATTGTTAATCACATAAAGTTATATCATGATTATTCATTGCATGAAGTTATATCATGATTATTAACTGCATGAAGTTATATCATGATTATTAATTGCATGCAGTTATCTCATGATTATTAATCACATGAAGTTATCTCATGATTATTAATCACATGAAGTTATATCATGATTATTAATTGCATGAAATTATATGATTATTGATTACATGAAGTTATACAATTTTTAAAATTATAACAATCCTTCTCATCCTCTTTTCATATTTATTTCATTCTCCTTCTCTTATTTTAATCTTAGTTATTGTTTTATGTTTAGTATTCCATTTTGTTTATTACATTCTAAATTTAAATTCTTTTTTCTAAAAAGATATTTCATATTGTTTATTGCATTTTAAATTTGAACTTTCAATTGTTAACACCGAACAATTGCTCACATACTAATTGCAAAAACATTTCAACTAATACTAATTAACTCAATGATTTATTTAAGGTCTACCTCATGTATTAATTGTGGTACTTCACGACGAAGTGATTTATTATGTTGATGTTATGAAAATTTTTGGAACAGAAATAAACTACATAGATATTGAAAATTTCTCATATTGAATGTGGAAATATTATTGCTGTTATCTATTACAACAACGACCTTTATTGGTACTACTATAATTATTATTGGCGCTGCCATAAATATTTTCACATTATTACTATCACTTCTACTATAATTACTACTATTATTACTATTAATTATAATAAATTTTATTACAAACTATTTTTATTCATTTTTTTAATTTCTGTTTATTTTTGTTTTAAAACGAATAATTATCATTCGTTTTGTTTTTCTTTTGTTATAATTTAATTTATCAAAATAATAAATTCCGAAATTTATCAATAAAAAAAAATATAAATAAATCGAAATGCCATGGTGCTGTGGCTTAGCAAATACTGGTGGAACAACATCAACAGCTCTTATCACTTCGGATAGTGATAATTTTGTTCAACAACCATTAAATGCAACAAATACTGGTAGTGGAACTGCTAGACGAAAATCATTTATTATACCTGATAATTTTGGTCCTATGCTTTTACAGCCAAAAAAAACGGTTAGCTTTAATTTTGTGTTGCTTAAATTTTAAAATCAATCACTTCTTTTTTTAAAGTATTCAATTAATCATGAATTAATATATCACTATCACTATCACTATAATTAACATATTACTATTATTATCGTTATTAAAATATATTGCTATCACTATCATCAACATATTACTATTATCGTTTTTAAAATATATTACTATCACTATCATTATCGTTATTGAAATTTAAAAGAAGAAAATTTTTTTCAGCTTTTTTTCCGTTAATTATTAGAAATTTAATTTTAGTATTTATCATCAAAATTCTCAAATATCATTCTGCTTCAAATAAAATTAGCATAATGGAAAATGTTTTAAGAAATATTTGAATGCTTATTTCTTCGTTTTCATTTCTCTCATTTCGTTGAATCTAAAATAGTTTCAATTGGTATAAATTATGGAAGTATGCTAAAATATCTTTCTATTCGATGTTTTTAGTATATTTCATAGGAATAAATAGGTATCGCTAATGTATTCTTTCAAAAATACGTCTTGTCAAATTTTCTTTTTCCTTTTCTTTTTTTAAAAAAATTTTTGAACCTAAAAATTATTATGATTATACTGAATTGAAATAATAAGAAAATAAAATTTAAAATAAATAAAATTAAATTAAAAGATGAATTAAGTGAATCGGATATAAACGAATTATAATTAGATAGTTTACTTTAGTTTATGTTTATATAACATTTGCATATTATGCATGCATATAACCATAACATGCAAAATGCATGTATAATTACATACATTGCATGCAGAATGTAAATTTTAAAATAAATGAAAATTTATTTTTGATTAGAAAATGCAATCAATTGAAGTGTATAAAATAAATTTGCCTTATTTAGCATTACTGGAGAAGGATGTAAATAATGTAAACGAAAAAGTAAACAAATATGAAATAAATATAATAATTAATTATTGTTATGGTATATTATTATTATTATTACTGTATCGTTAGTACTATTAAAGGTTGCAAATTTCATTTATTTGTATACTTTGTTGTAACTGTCAAATTTAAAGTACCAATTCTTATTTAATTCAAATTTGAATCATTCAGGAAATACAGTAATAATAAAAAAATTATTATTCATTTATAATTAATAATAATAATCATTTCCAATATTACTTAAGATATTAAAATTTAATTTAAATTAAAAAAACGATTAAAATAATAAAATATGAAATTTACAAATTGTATTTAAAGACAATAGAAAATTAGAATATTTAGTGCGAAAAATTTTAAACGAACATTTTTGATTGAATAACTCAACCACATGTTTTGATATAAATCATTTATGTTTATATTTATTGCAGAAATGATCTTTGAATTCTTAGTGTGATAAATTTTAATGCACGAATAATGATGGTAATTTGATATCAATCAAAAATATATATTTTATTAGTTTATTTATTATTATTATTATTATTACTATTTTAGGAAATATGAATTGTAAGCTTTTTCAATCGATATTTCATTTTTTTCAATCAATATTTTACATATTTGATAGTTAGTTAATAGAGAAGTTAAAATATTGTGTAATGAAATCACCGGAAATAAGAGAGAGAGAGAGAAAGAGAGAGAGTAAGAGGAAAAAACCGGTAAAATGAATTTTGCAAATAGGAAGTGAATAGCACTTCCATTGATTTGTTTAAAATTGTTGAACATTGAAAAAAATAATATATCAATTTTATCAGGAAAAAAAAGGAACAGAGAAAGAGGAATTTTCGAATGTTTTCAATGATTAATGATAATGATAAAGATAGAAAAGGAAAGAAACGAAATAATAGCATGGGAAAAAGAAATTGATTAATAGTAAAATATGTATCATTAATTTGTTTACTATATAAGATAATGAACTTGAAATTTATACCGAATATTATTGTACTGAAATAATTTATATCGATTTAATAATTATATGACATATAATTAGTATAATTTACTGCATGAATTATAAAATTAATCAATAATGAAAGAAAATTTTTAAATATGAAAGTATTTAAATTTCAAATTATGAATATTTTAAATTAATTCCGATACTGATAAAGAGTTCTGATAGGAATTCATGCAATCCTGATAAAGAACTCTAATAGTAAGTATAAAATTTAATTATTTCTTATTGCTAAATTAATTTGTAATTTTAAACTCTTACAAAAATTTTACTATCTCATTACTATAAATCTAATTGTTAATAATAAATATTAATTATTTTAATTAATTTTCAATTTATTCGAATTTTTTTCTTTGTCTTTTCCAATTTGATATTTAAATTATTGGTTTATCAAATTTTGCAATAATTGCTAATTCTCTTATCATATAAATTATCTGTATATTGGTGATATGATTAAAATCATGTTAATCATTTTCATGTATTTATATATAATTATATTATAGTGATTTTTTTTTCATCCAAAATCATTTTATAAGCTGTTGTTTTTTTTAATGTATAGACTAATGAAATAAGAAATAAGACTATTATGTATATTTATAAAGCAAATGACAAATTGTAATTATAATAATTGTCTATCTTATCACAATATTATCTATCTTAATAATTGATAACAAACTATCTTATCTTTTACAATATAAATTTGATAGTAATTATTATCATATAATTCTATCAGTTCCTAAATATTATAATTTAAATAATTAACTAGATTAATAAATTAGCTTAATTAACTTATTGAAAATTCTGGAAAAATTATTACAATTATTTTTCTTAAAAATCAAATAAATAATTATGCAAAAGTTTTTTGTTGAAAAAATGAAAATTATAACTTTCCATTAATTTAATAAATTACAATTTTTTGTTTGTAAATTTATTATTTCAATTTCACAAATTGAAAATATCGCAAATCAAAGTCGTTTTTTTAAAACAATTCAATTATATCTTCTTAATTTATCATTTTAATGAATGAGCTATACGCAATAGTTAATTAGTAATTAGTCAAATTAGTTAATTATTTCAAGATTATTTCAAGCTTATAAAAACAAACTTCGGTTATTATATTTAGTAAATCAAATAAATGATAAATTTAAATCTCTTTCTTTCTTTTTCTCTCTCTCTCTCTCTCTCTTTCTTTCTCTATCTTATCTTTTAAATCAACAACATTAAAATGTAAAGTTACGGCAGACTTAAAGCATTAAAATAAATGATGAAAGGATAAAAATTTGATTTGAAACGAAAAAAACAACAAATTTTAATTACAGCCATTTATTTCAATTTTACGTCAATAATATATTTCTTTCAATTTTTCATTTCTTAAAACAAAAGCCAAAAAGAAAATGAAAAAAAATAACTAAAATGAAATATTACGAAAAATTATACTTTCTTTCTTTTTGTTTAATTTTTAAAATTTCATATCAAATTTTTAATTACTTATTTTTGAACTTTTACATTTTTTAATTTTATTTCGATACTTTATTAATTATATAATAATTAAAATAATTAATAGCATAAATAATTATGATAATAATTACAATTAATAGCATAAACATCCCATTCTTTCCAACAATAACATCAAACATTTTTATCGATGAATAATGTAAATGATATAAATATGAATAAGTTCGCCTCAATTTATAATATTTACTTATAAACAAATAAAATAATAATATGAATCGTTAATAATTAATAATAATAGTAATAATAATAATAGTAGTAATAATAATAATAATAATAATAATAATTTTGATAAAATTTTTTAAATTATAAAATTCTTACAATTTTTATTCATTCATAATATAATTTGAAAAAAACGAACAAAAAAATTGGTTAGTGTATGTAAGATATATATCGATAAGTAGGCCGATGATTAACGATGAAATTTGCGATTTAATGATGAAATTTGCGATTTAATGATGAAATTTGCGATTTAATGATGAAATTTGCGATTTAATGATGAAATTTGCGATTTAACGATGAAATTTGCGATTCAAAAAAAAAATTCAATTTGCGAATTTTGCGATAGAAATCTAATATATCTTGCATAAATATTATCAAAAATTATTTGAAACAATCGTAAAGCTATTACCAAACCGTAATAAATCTTTTTTTTTATATATGAAATAATTGATTATTTTAGCCTAAAATATATTTTCTTAGTTTAATTTATGTTAAAATTAATTAACCTTAGATATTACCTAAAGTAATATGAGAAATTCTGTTCTCATAGGTTTGAAATACATTTTATTAGTTTAATTTATCCTAAAATTAATTAATCTTAGATATTACCTAAAGTAATATAGAAATTCTATTCTTATAGGCAATGTTTGTAACAGGAAATCGGCAGCCAAATGATTGTCTTTTTATTGAAAGTCTTCGATCAAATGGCTGGCAAGTATGTTATTTATTTCCTTCCAGTCTTTTCTCTTTTTCATTTTAACTTGAAAATTCTAAAAATTTTAGGAAAAAAGTTTTTTACTTAAAATTTATCAAGTGCCTATTGTTTTTTTTGCTTTCAATCTTTTCAGGTTGTTAAAACATCAGCAGGTGTTGCAGAAGTTAATTATCAACAACAAAAACCATTATTAGTTCTGGTAGATATTCGCCTACCTGATATTGCTACCTTCGCCAAGTAACACAGTTTATCGATTTGTATTTAGGCTAAATACTTCAAAATAATAACTTTAATTAATATTATCCGGTAATCGATAATTCGGTGCGATAGATTTTTCCGGAAAAAAAACGCGATAAAATTCTTTATTTTCAACGAAAGGAAACTAGCATGAAAGAAGCCATTTAAATTTATCTATTAAATTTTATTATTTGTTAGCGATAATTAGCACTCTCTCAGTTTTCTTCTTTTTATCTTAAACCCATTAAAAATAATTACACTTAAATCTTTTTTAAATTACCACTAATATCTGACCTAAACAGTATACTAAGCTGCTATGATTACGGTTACTGTAATTGCTTCAAATTATTAAATCCGATTTTTTAGGTCAAAAAATACTTTGGAAATTCATTGATGAATTTTTGAGGAATTTAATTTAAAAAATTATATGAAAAAAATTCTGCTTGCCAGAATAATTATTTGTTTATTTGTTTGTTTGATTCAAATTGTAGAACAATGCATTGCCTTTCAACAACCGACGAAGTTTTTTTTGCCGCATTATCAGACAGGTAATTATATTCCATTTTTCTTTACCTGTCTTTAATGTTTTTATTTATTAAGCAAAAATTTAAAAGGCAAAAACAAAGAAGAAAATTTTTTTAATTTCCGACATTTTCAAAATTCTAACAAAATTTTGTGAACGATTTTATTTTTGCACGAAAAAATGATTTCAGGATGATATCCGAAAAACGTAAACATTGGCTGCTTTCACAGTCTACTCTTTGCCACGTAAATTGATCATTATTCCTAAAATAACAAATACAATTATCTAATTAATATTATCGCACTTAAGTTTATCATTTTTCCTACAATATTATGAGATGTGTATTACCTAACTCTTAAATATTCAATTAATCAAATCTAAAGATACTAAAATAATTGAGCTAAATTAATTAAGCATGGTAATATTAATTAGACAATTGTATTTGGCAATTTTATCACATCTTTTTTCTTCTTTCATCTAAATTCAAATTCTACTCGTAAATAATTAGTATTATCAATTTTATACTTATACTGTTCTCATTGAATTAAATTATATTAGAGAATCATTAGATCATTATTCTATTGGGAATCTATTGGGAATTGCAGTTTATATAAGTTAATAAGTTCTAAAGTAAAGAAATTAAAATTAGGTAAAAATAAATAAATCAGTATTTATATAGTAAATATTTCATTATCTAATAACACTCATCGATATGTATTCCATATTTATTTATTAATATTAATTTTATAAATGATTGTTATAAATAAAGTCATTTCAGGTTTTCGTGTCAACGTCAACGGATATCTCTCTTTGTGAATTATTCGCACGTCTCGTGAATCGTTTACGTGCTATACCTGCTTTATTTGCTGCTCTAGACGAGGTACCACTATTCATCCATCTAATATGTTAATTAAGTAAATGAAATAATAATTGATTAATCGTATATTAGGAATGAGATAAATATTGATAGTTTGAAAGTAATTGAGATTACTAGCAATTTGAGATCTTATGAAATGTTTTATCATTTAATTACGATAATTCTATATTTAAGTTAATTACAGGTGTAATTACGATTATTTGATATTTTAGGCTTAAACATACATATTGTTTTACAGGTAAATCAACCGATTGAAATATGTGATAATGCCTTAAATGTGCAATACATAAATCGCGCCTATGAAACAAATACTGGTTGCAAGCGGTAAAGTTTCTTCCTCTAATGATCTTATCGTATGAAAGAAAAATATTAAATTTTTTCTTTGATACGATATATTCCAAATGTAGCGAAGTAATTACGATACATTATAAATAGCGGAACTGTTACTGTATATTCTAAGTAATAGAATAGCTGCTACTCAGTAAAATTCTAAGGATAAAATAGTTACGCTACAGTATAAGTAATAAAATATCATATAAATTCTAAAGCTGTTTGCGCCCTTTTTTTTGTCTTAAAAATAGTATTATCCTTTTTTCGTATATTTTAAATTTGATGAAATATAAGTATAAATTGATTGTTGTTATTGTTGTTGTTATTTGGATGAATAAGCGTAATGCAAATATATTTAAAGATTTTATAGTTTTCTTTTAAACTCTTTTTTAGATTAAATTTGATTAAATGCCTTTCTAAGGAGTGAAGTGCTCGGTAAAAAAACATCCGATATTCGACGAAAATCATTGCAACAAAAATATTCAACGCGATCGAAAGATTTTATTACAACAACTGTAGCAGATGATGAAGTAGCACAAAAAGAAAATTATGAATGGCAATGCATACAAGTACCTGGAAGTTCTACTAGGTAAATTATATATTCATATATATATGGTCTTAAAAACAAAGAATAGTTAAAATATTTTTTAAAACATACAGGTGCGATGGTATCATGTAATACTATATTATCAGTTCATATATAACTATTTAGTAATTAATTAATTTGTTTAGTAATTAATGCAATATTAAAGTGTTTCTTCAATATTTTTGATAGCAAAGAATTCTTCGAACCACTTCATTTTATTATCATAAAATAATTTATTTTAAAATAATTTTTTTTTCCGAAAATTTAAAATATTCATATTCGTGCTTGAATAATAATACATATCATGATATTGTACAATTTATTCAAATGGCCAAAAATCGGACAGATAAATTCAGAATATCTCTGCTATCATCGATACTAAATTAAAGCAAAAAAACTTCCGGATTTATTTTCCGAACATATTTTTCTTTTCCTTTTTTTTTTTATAGCCAACAATTTGTTTATTTGAAACGAAATATTGGTGGTAGTGGTGGTAGTGGTGGTGGTGGTGATTCGGCACTCTATACTAATACACCATCGATACGAAGTGAACGATCACAAAGAGCGCTTGTTGATTCGCCCATCAATGAGGTAAATTTCTACCTATAAAGGTATTATTTGTTTCTTTATCTTTTTTTTTGTTTTATTTATAATTTATTATTTCTTTTCGCTATTGTTGTTGCTGTTGTTGTTTATTTTCTTCGTTTTACTACATGTTAAGCATTCAGTGGTGAATTTTCGCTTCTTCTTTTCCTAACAAACTTTATGTTTTAACGTTGCACTTCTTTTTTAATGTTTGTAACACTTTTAATTATTTATGAGTATATCATAAATACTATAACGAAATTTAATAATTGCATCATAATAATAATAATAGTATTAAGGCGTAGAGTATAATTTTATTCAAGTTTGAATAAATTAATATAATTTCAGATTAGATTTTAAATTATCAACATAATTTCAACATTAGGATTTAGACAAATTAAACATTCAAAGTAAATAAATAATTCGTATTAAGCAATGCAAAATATTTGGCGTGTAATCATTATAAGTCTAATTAAGAAAGTTAAAATGTACAACAATCTGTTATACATAGTTTGCAATAGTTTTTCGACATTCATCATCCTGATAATATATGCTATAATGGTTCATCCTGACAATGTATGCTTCATTAAATAATCTGGCAATTATAATGGAAGCTAAGAGTATCAATTTAATCATTCAAGATATTTTACATTTTATAGCAATTAAATATAATTAAATGTATAACATGATTACTGATTACGAATTCGATACATTATAGTATTTTCACCTGAACAACTCAAGCAAACAATAGTAAATAAACTTTTCTTTTTTGATCAATTGATCTGATTGATATCCCATCAATTAGCAATTCTGGCACTATTTGAGAATTATAAAATTTTGAAGTCTGATTTTTCATCAATCAACTTTCAAAGCTTTTTCTCTATTCACTTATTATTTCTCATCACTTGCTCTTTTCTCAATAATTTACCGAAATTTCAATTCCAATACTCATTATAATTATTAATCTTAAATTAATTAATTGCATGAAATTAATTGCATGTAAGCATACATATATATATAAATGACAACCTATGCCGTATTATTTGACATTTTGATTACATTTATATCATTCTGTTTTGCATCTTTCATTTCTTCCCTATCTTTTATAACATTTTTTTTATTTTGTTTATAAAAAAGTTTTATTGTGAAATAATTATTGAAATGAGTTAATAATATATGTATGCTTACAAATTATAATTTTAATAATTTACCTAAAATGAATCCTAAAATGATCCTAAAATTTACATAATTATAAGTGAAATTATGGTTAATTTCATAAATGAAATTATTTTTTATGGCAGAAAAAATACTTTATGGATATGAATATTTGTTAAAATATTTTGTCCTATAATTAAAACAATTTAATTATTTCTTTCATTGCAAACTTTAGAGAAAATTTCTAGAAGATTTACATTCTCAAAGATCTTTTTTCATACTTAAATATTTAATAATAACAAATTTTCGATTTAATTTCAGTATCACTTTTTTGTTTCCGCCTATAATTATCATTTCAATCATAATTTGACATTTCAACAAACATTTTTCATCGATCATTGTAAAAGTTAAACTTTTATCACAAAACAATTGCTATGTTTTCCCTGAAAATATAAATCAATTTTATGATAGGCCAGACAATTAAAATGAAAATATCATTTAAACATTAATCATGATTATGAATTAGGTTAAATGGACGTTAATAAATCATCTGGCAATACAACTAACTCTTTGGCATTTTCGAATATGTCTTATCATGCAATCATCATCAATTCATTTCAATTGTATTGGTATAGCTCTAAGTTATACGTAATTCTGATACTCTGGCAAACAATTCGATTAATTAATAATGAATTACTTATAGTTCATTTGGAGATTTTAAAAATATTTCTTATCAATCTGTGATGATAAGCTATCATTTCAATATTATACTCAAACATTCAATAAAATATTTCAATAAATTTCAAATCTATGATAAAAATTTATTAGACAATAGTATTTTAAATTAAAGCTAATTTTTAAAGTTTCTCCACGTATGCGTCTTATTGGTACACGTATACGTCTTATTGACAAACGTAACGTTTCGGATTATACATGCGCTTAAAAATTTCGCTAATTTTTCTATTAAATCAAAATACTATTATATAAATAATTTGTATTATTTCTTTAGTTTATTTAACGATATTACATAAATTGATTTTTTTCTGAAATTAATTTCTTGAATTAATGATTCTAAATTTCATTTATTCTTTTCTTTTTTGAGCTAAAATTAATTAGTAATTAATAAATTATCGTCTTTATGTATATATGCTTCCCATAGAATTTTTAATAAAACTGAATGACATAACCTTAATATTATTATTATTGTTGTTATTATTATTAGTATTATTATCGTTATTATCATCATTGTTATTATTTATTAATTATTAGTTGTTAATTATTAATTTTTGACCTTAGTTATCGGTTATTAAGTATTATTTAACGATTAATTATTAATTACTAATTATTATTTAATAGTTAATTATTAATTACTAATTATTGATTATTAATTATTGATTAATATTTATTATTAATTATTAATTACTAATTATTAATTATTAATTGTTAACTATTAATTATTATCTATTGATTAATAATCATTAATCAATTATTATTATTAATATTATTATCATTCAGTTAATGTCGTTAAAATTATAAATTTCAGGTAAATCTTTTTAGTTGTTAATTACAAATTTTTTTACCTGTAATATCTTTATTGTAAATGACATATTTAAATTCAAAATTTAATCACTTAGTGATAAAAAAAGATATGTCAAATATTTTTGTAGTTTTCAAGAAATAAAACAACACAATTAAACAATTAATTCATTATGTATTTTTGAATTATAATTATAATTTTCGTAATTAAAAATTTTTATTAATGAAATATTATCGATTGATAAATTTTTTAAATTTAATTTATCAAAATAATTCATATTTTGAGGTGTTATTCTCATTACGAGATGCTATGAGGGGAACGGACGAACAAACACAACAACTTCTACGAGATGCAATTAGAGTTAGTAAATTTGCACATTAATGAAATATTGCTGCAACAACAACAACAACAACAACAACAATTCATCAACAAAAATTTGGCTAATTGTTTTCGACAAAGACAAATTAATTGTCTCTTTTGATATCATTCATTGATTAATTTTAGTTTTATACATTGTTAAGGCATATTTGTAAATTTAAAATTATCTTCTCAAACTAAAATTAAGTCATTTTCTCCCTTTTAAATAAATGAAATTTTTTTTCCTTATAATTTAAATAAACTTTGAACTATGAAATATTTTTAAACCAAAATGAAAAATAAAGAAATCAAGAATTGGAAATTAAAAATGAAAATTTGAATATTTAAGATATTTAAAATTTTATTTTAATAAAATATTTCAAAGTTATCAAAGACAAATTTAAAACAATAAACGATAAGATATCATTTTAATAAAATAAATTCTCTTATAATATGCTTGTAATAATTTTACTAATTTTATTATAATTCATAATTAATTACAAATTATCATCGATTAGCAATTTATAGAAAATATATTTTAATTTTAAATTTAATTATTTAAGTTAAAAGGTATTATTCAAATGATTTTATATAAAATTATCAGTGATAAAAACAATTTAAGTATTTTTGTAAATTCATAAAAAATCGATTTATATATTTTATTTTTTGTTTTAAGAAATGTTTGTGAAATAAGCATAATGTATAAAATAATTAAATACTTATTACTATATGTAAATGAAAAAGAATAATAGAATTGTTAAATAATAAATATTAATAATGAATAATCGAATGAAATTGGACGATAGAAATTAATAGATGAAATAATAAGTTCAGATTATAAGCTAAATAAGTTATATTTTATTGAATGAAATCCGAAATTATTATAAATAATTAAGTTCAGATTATTTTATTGAGCAAAATCTAAAATTATAAAATTTTTAAATTTGACAGGTATCAGTCGTAATGGATGGTTATCTTTCCTCTTTCCGAATCATCATTTTAAATGAATTTGAATATTTTTTGAAATGAAAAAAATTGAAATATTAGTTTAATTTTAGGAAGTTTTCAACATAAAAGGAATAGCGATTAATTACATCATTGTTTAAATTAAAATTTATTAGTAAAAAAATTCAATTTGAATGGTCTTTTCCGATGATTTTTTAGATATCAATTTTTTTAATTGGAATAATTTAAAAAATTCAAACTTCAAATTTATTAAACGAAATTTTGAAATTTATAGTTAGCAACTAGGAAATAATTAACAATTAAAAAATAAATAATAATTAAGAATAATTAAGAAAAAAGGGTTATAGTAATTAAGAAAAGAAGAGTTTATATTCTAATATCTTAGAAGCATATTTGTAAGTTTTAGGTCTTACAGTATGAAAGAATAGAAAAAGCGAAGAGAGCATTTTCAAATATTATATTGGTTAATTAAAATTAAAATTAAAATATTTAATCATATTCTTTTGTTCTATATCTCTTTTTTCTATCCATAATTTTTTATTGAAATTTATCTTTTGCATCAAATTCGTATCAAACTTTCTTCTATTTATATTATCATTTAAGCTTAATTTGAAATTTCACATTTCAATTTTCAAATTAAAAATTTAATTACAAATTAAATTATTTAATTAGTAATTCAAAAATCAATATTATATGTTAATAATTTCTTTTGTTTACAGTATAACACAAACATTCTTTGTTTAGCTAACATTTTCAATCTTTTTTGTTAAATCTTTCTTTAAATTATAATTTATTGTTTTTCTTTTGCTTTTCATTTTATTAAAGAATTGAATTAATTAAAGAATTTGATTAATTAATTATTCTTAGGTATTATCATCATCCGAATTATACGCTCCAACAATAACACGTTTTGGTAATAATGATCGAATAGCAACTGGTTATTACGATGGATTAATACGTGTTAGTTTTTTTGTTCTATTTTATTTCTGATTTAAGTTATTATTTTAATTTGTAGTATATGTTTCATTAAATTTAATGAATACAAATATTTTACATACATTGCAAAGATATGCATACCTGTAATCAATTTGTAGTGAGTTTAATTAATCATACAATAATTAATGAGCACAAAACAAAGAAGTCAGAAATGACAAAAATATAAAATAGATGAATAATGGTTAGTATACAATAACGAAATATATTTTTGGAAGTTTTATGTAAATCGGAAAAATGGAAATTGAACTGGAATGAAAATTGAACTGTGTTCAACTAATAGAATTAGATGTTTTTAGATTAATATACCATTAATTTAATTATTTTCAGTAATCTCTATTTATACTATTAACATGAAGTGATGTTTCCGGAATATTTCCGGATAATAGCTTTTGATTACAGGAAAATTGACTTAACTGATCTAATATAGTAAATTACCAAATAATATATAATAATAAAAGCTGAAATATGTTCAATTTCATTTATCAAAATATTCCCACATTTTTGTATTATCATGCAATGCACTGTATAAAAATTAATTGATTAAAATTTTGTTCTTAAAAAATTAAATGACATATTATTATTATTAATTATTAATATTAATCATTTTTACTAATTATATCATTGTTTACAGCTTCATCATATGCCTCAAAGTCGAAAACGTTCCGTTGTTGATGCGTTTAAAGTTAGGCGTAAATCGCAGAGCATTGATGGTTGCCATAATCTTTCAAGCGATATACGAAGCGCTTTATCAAACGATACTCAATGGAATTTCGATATTTTATATTTGGAAAAAATTTCCGGAAATCATGCACTTTCACGTTTAGGCACAAAGGTAAATGTGAAGAGAAGAGAAGAGAGAAATTTGTTATTCTAAAAATTTTGTCCTTTTTTTTAAAAAATAATTTCTAAAGTTTCATTCAATTACAATGATATCATTATATCATATCTAACCTACCGTATGTCATAACTATTATAAATAACCAATCCTAATTTTTCTCCACAATTTTTCACTTCAAAATTTATCTCAACAATTTTAGCTTTACTTCGAAAAATAATATAAAAATTAAGGAACATGTAAAAGGAAAAGAAAGAGTGGAAAAAGAAAAGATACAAAACAGATATGATCAAGATAATTTGCTGCTTAACATTCACATATTTCATGTGAAGAAAATGTTCATATTTAATTTAGATACGTTACAGATATTCGAACGTTGGAAGATTCATGAAACATTGAAATGTTCGATGGATTTAATTACTCGTTGGTTTGATGCGATTGAAACTTATTATCGTACAGTAAATCCGTATCATAATGCTACTCATGCAGCCGATGTCTTACAGGTTTTTATTTTATCCGGAAAGAATATTGTAGTTTAAATATCCTGTTTTCTTCGCATTCTTTTTTTTTGTGAAAATTTTCATATCATTTCTTTTCCGTATCACTTGATATCATTTCTGCATATTTTGATGTTAAAACTCCGTAAGATGTTGAGTGTGATAAATTATTTGTTATATCAATAATTCACTTAGAAATCTCCAACTTTTTTTCGGGAACTACTTTACTTAAATTTATCCTGTTCATTTAATTCCGATTTCAGTTATTAAAGGATCTTTTTGTCGGAAATTTTTTCAATACAATCCGAAAATTCATAACATATTTTAGGCTACATCATTTTTTCTTGATTGTCCTACTGTTGCTCATTACGTACAGGAATCACATGCTACTGCACTTTTAATAGCTGCCGCTGTTCATGACTTGGATCATCCCGGTTGGTATTACCTATCTTTTCTGATTTCTATCATTCCAATAAATAGCTTATAATTTGGATCACCATTTCGATAAATATATATATTAATCTTTTATAATTTAAATCATTTCGCTTATTTCTAATGGTATTACTGATAATATTGGATAGGTTAATTTAAATTTAATAAAAACAACTTCCTAACAGATCAACTAATTTCAAGCAATAAATTAAGGCAAAATTTTAACATAAATTTTTATTTCTCATAAAATTTTAGAAGTTTGATCAAAATTAACAATCATATTTACTGAATAACAACAGCCAAAGCATTACTTTAGCAATTCTTAGCAAAAATTTAATGTACCATAAAATATAATGCTATGATATCATTTGTTGTTAGTTAATATTTATTTTGGAAAAAAAGAAACGAAAATCTATCGGTGGAAAATTTCTTTGAAAATATTCGATTTAATATGTTTGATAGTTATTTGCAATGATATATTCAAAAATTAAAGAAAATGATTATTTTCAAAATACAACAATATCATTCTAATAATTATTCAATAATCATTGGTATTATTATTATAAAAACAATTAATTAATTTAATTATTACTTAAATATTTTAAAAAATAAAATTAAAACTTAATTTTAGGACGTGGTAATGCTTTTTTAATAAATACACAACAACCATTGGCATTATTATACAACGATCAATCAGTATTGGAAAATCATCATATTTCATTAGCATTTCAACTTACCTTACAAAGTACCAATAATATTAATATATTTGCTGCACTTACACGAGAAGAATTTGCAACATTACGACAAGCTGCTGTTGAAATGGTTTTAGCTACTGATATGAGTCGACATTTTGAATATTTAACAAAATTTCAACAAGTTGTTTCAAATTTAAAGGTATTATTAATTATTCTTAATAAAGTCGAAATATATTATTCTTTTTAAACTGTCTATTATTTAAAGGTATTATTAATTAAAATATATTGACTTGTTGCCACTTTTTTTGCTTTTGTTCTTTAAGTATAATTAATTATTCTTAATCAGAGTTTATTTATGTTTATTTGATTTGGTTATTACAATCATAGTTATAAAATATATTTCAAAATGATAAACAAAGCAAAAATAAAATTTTTAATATCATTTCTATTATCATAAAGTATCAGATATCTTATGATAACAGAAATAAATGAATTTTTGAAAGAAATGAAATAAATTAGATACTCTATTAATCGTTTGCTTTTTTCATGAAACTTTCCAAAACAAATTATGATAATAAAATTATGATAATTATGGTTTTCATAAATTATGATAATATTTATTTTGCTATAGCTTACTATTTACACAGTTGTAATAATATTTTATATTCAATATTATTTTCTTTTACTAAAAATTTTTTCATAATTCATTTCTTCAAATATTTTTTCAATCACAAATTTCATCTTTAATTTTCTTTCTTAGAAAATTTGAAATGAAATAATTGCACAAATTTGAAATGGAATAATTGAATTGAAATAATTGAACAATTTTAATTAAAATAAATAATTTAGCATATTTTACCGTAATTAAGCAAGGGAAATGAAAATTTACGATCAAAATTTTTTTAAAAAAAGAAATTGAATTCAAAAAATTTGTTTCTTTTCATTTTCTCATACAATTCATTTAATTCAATTTGATATAATCAATATTATATTATATTATGTAATATTATCAATTTATCAAATATCAAAATATCAACGAATAAAATATCAAATTGATAATAATATTATATTATTATATTATTATATTAATATTATTATATTATATTATTATCAATTTGATATTTTATTCGTTGAAAAAATAATTTATGAGAAAATGATGAAAATTTTTCATAACATATCAATTCGAATGTGAAATTAAAGAAGAAGAAATTTTAAGGATCATGAAGAAAATGAGAATAACATATCGCTAACAATATGTCGTATGTTAATCAAATGTGCGGATATCGCAAATCCAACAAGAGAATGGAAATTATGCGAAAGATGGGCAATGCGTATTGTGAAAGAATATTTTGATCAGGTTCTTTTTTTGTATTTGATTAATTTTAATTTTATGTTACAATTTATTAATTAACTTATTTATTTGTTTATTCATTTATTTAGACAAAGAACATGAAAAAAATGCAATTAATTAATTGATTAATTAAACTTATGCTTGTCATTCAATTAATTTGTTCACTTTTTTCTTCCCTTTTTTATTAATTTTTTTAACGGCTTAATTAATAAAGTTAATTAATTAATTAATTAATTAATTTATTTAGACAAATGAAGAACGTGAAAAAGGTTTACCATTAACAATGGAATTATTTGATCGTAACGTTTGCAATATACCATTAACGCAATGCGGTTTTATTGATATGTTCGCACGTGAAGCATTTACAAGTTGGACACAATTTTCAAATCTACCAAATTTACTTACACAATTGGAAAAAAATTATGAAATATGGCGACAGCAAACAGCTGAATGGAATCCATCAAAGAATGCGCACTTTTGTGATAAAGGATATTTACATCATTAATGATAATATCACTGTGATAAATTATTATTGATAAATTAATCTTTTAAAAAGAATCTCTCAAAAATATTTATTTATAATTTTCAATTTAATATTGTTATCTTTTAATATGCAAATTTCTTGTTTTCAAATATATTAAGGAAAAAACAATTGATTGTTTTTTTAATTAAAAAAAATTTATTGTATAAATAATATAGTTATATAATTAATTATATTATTGTGGCAATTTGATATTGTTATTTTTTAATGCACAAATTTCTAGTTTTCAAATATATTTATTAATTAAAAAAATTAATTGTGTAAATAATATAATTATATTATGGAAACATCAAAATTGTCAATTAATTAAACTTTATAAATTTTGATATAAGAGAGATTTTTTTTTTCTAATTACCTATCGATTAATTAATATTATAGTTTGAATGAAAACTTTTCTGAAATTCTAGCATTTATTATTTATGAATTTGTATTCTGTTTATATTTCACTTAGTAATCATTTTATAATGATAATTAATTGTTTGTTCAGAAAAGTTTTCGGATAAAAGTTTATCAAAAATTTTTCATGGGACAAAATTTATATAAATGAAATATATCGATTACAGGCTATGAAATTATCAATAACTGGTACTATTATTAATTAATTATTTTTTTGTTCAATAAAATAATGGAATGATTTTTTTTTTTAGTTAATTATTATCAGAATGAAAGATTGTTAAAAAATAATTAAAATATTTAATTCAATTACTTAAAGTAATGTATGAATTGCTTTTATGCGGTAAAAATGAAACACATTTGAGACATTTCAAAAAATTACCGAAATATTAATTTCACTATATTTTTTGCAAATTATGAAATTCCAAAGACGGTGCTATTATCGCGTTCCTTTTCTCTTCATCAATTAAATTTTAATCAATATTGCTATCTTTCAATATAGTATTCGGATATATTCAACTAAGAGTGCTATTCTTTTGCATATTGTTCCATTGGAAAATTGGATATGTATAGTTTTCGTTTTTTGCTGTTGAAATATTTCATATTGTTGGTAGAATTAGTTGCAATAATTCAGTATCCAATGTTGTAATGTTCTTTTTTTTTCCTTTCATTATTTTTATGTGATTTTTAATTAATTAATTTTTTTAATTTATTTAAATTATTAAATTACAAAAAGCAAAAAAGAAGGAAGAGAAAAAATAGCGCGTTTTTCAATAATTCTTTAATTTTTTAATTTCAGGATTTCAGGTTATTCGTATTTTAGTTTTTGATGTAAAACTTTTATTATCAAATTTTGCTTTACAATTAATAATTTTAATGAATTAATGCACTAATTATTTTCAACCGTTTTTTTCGTTTCTTTTGCTTCTTTCATATTTGTTATTATTGGTTCAAATTAATTGTATAAAAAAGAAAACTTTTTAATTATTTTCCATCATTAATTAATTTTTGGCAATAACATTTAATGTCTTTCGAATACTTCAAGTGAAGGTTAGATATAAATCCCAAAAAGTTGTTAAATAGAGAAAAAGTTTTGATAAAAAATTTTTTCCTTATCTTTTAATTAACCTGAAATTATTTTAGTACTAACTAACTTGAAATAATTTTTATTAATATTTAAAATTCCTTCAAAAATAGTAATAATATTTTAAAAAATTCGCATTCCATTTTATAAATATATAATTTTGTTTTAGTATATTTTTAAAATCGTTCCAAAACACTTTTATTTTTGTTATAAAAATAAATAATTAAAACTTAAAAATTAAAATCTAAAATGAATAACATCAATCAATCAATCAAATGCTATAATAGTTATCAGATAATTTATCAAATTGATATAAATAGAAATAAACGAGAAATTTACATCACTTACTTTATAATTATTATAAAGGGTTTTGAAATTTCTATAATATAATATGATAATATTATAGTGTTTTAAAATTTCTATAGTTATAATATGATAATATTATAGTTGACGGTTTGAAAAGAGTTTGAAATTTCTTTAATAATATAATGTGATAATATTATAGTATATAATATATTAATGGTAATAATATGATAATATTATAGTTAGGATTGATAATAGAATTTTGTTGAAATTTTCATCAAAAAGAAAATAGCTAAAATTATCATTCAAAAGAAGTTACATTAAAAAAAATATGAAATGTTATTTATTTTCGAAATTTATATTACTTAAAATTATCGTAATTATTTACATGTGAACAAAAAAATCAATAAATATATAATCGTTTTTGTATATATTCATTGAATTTTACATTATTTCAAATCAGTTTTTAATTTTTTAATTTCCAATTTTTTTATTTTAATTCGATTTTTTGATTTTATATTATCAAAAAAAGAAGAGAAAGAATTATTCCAAACGATTAAAAGAGAAAACGAAGAAAAATATATTAAAAGAAATTAATTTCATTATTGATTGATAATAAGAAAATAAAATTAAATGAAATTCCTTTTAATGGAATTCCTTTTTAGGTACAAAATATTTTCGTGAAAGTTTGTTTATTCATTCATGCATTAATGGCTATTAATTATAAAGTAAAGCGAAAGAAAGAGCAAAACAAAAAAGGAAAATCAAAATAAAATAATTCAAATGATCAAATTTAATTTTATTCAGGCTGTGATTATTATCGTACTTATTTGTAATGTATTGATAATATGAAGCAATAAATTTCGCTTTTTCAATATAATAATGAAATTGCTGATAAGAAACATCACCTGAAATAATCATTCATTCATTTAAATTTTTATATTTATAAATGCAAAACGTATATATATATCATTGATAAAGGTCATAACTATCATAGTATGTATATTATTAAGATTACAACTATTATAAAGCGATTTATTCTTATTATCATTATAATTATTATTGTTATCATTATTCTATCATTATTACATTATAATTATTATTTATCATTTTTATATATTATTCCATTATAATTATTTATCAATTTCATATTATGTATTATCATTTTTATTAATTGTTATTATTATTATCACTGTTTTTATTGTTTTCGTTATCATTATTAATAAATTTATCATAATTATTGTTATATTTGTAATCAGTATTTCATATGATAATTTCAATTAAAACTTGCAAAAAATTTTAGCCTAAAATTTTCTTATTTTTTGCAATGATTTAATTATTAATTTCGCATCAAAATATTTGGCTAAAATAAATAAATAAATAAATCTACTATTTATAATAAAATATTCAAAATGGATTTGTGGGAAAAATATTAGCAATGAAATCTAATACATTTTTGTCAGTTGAAAATTTATCGCAAGTAAAAGCGCCAGCTAACGTCCAATTAAAATCGCTGGTAACGTTTGTCAAATAATCAAAAATTTATTATTCCTTTTTAATCTGCCAATAAATAAGTTAGATAAACGAAATTTATTGCTATTTAACAGGTATACCTAAAAATTCCATAATAATTAGAAAATCAAAAAAAAAACGAAAATTAATTAAAATTGAAAAAAAAGTTTTAAAAAAAATTGTTGCGAAAACAAAAATGGCAAATATAATTTAATTGCAAATATAATTTAATTTCACTGATAACTGAAATGTTTGTGGGATTTTCGGCAATAATCAAAAGAAAAACATATAGAGCGAAAAAATAAATGAATGTTTAAAAAAAATTTCAATTAAAATTTACTTCTAATTAGCCTTACTAATTTCATTTTCATATATTTCAATTAAAAAATTAGCAAATAAAATTATAGATAATAAACAATTAAATCATAAATAAGCAATCAAATTATAAAAACAGATAATTTATATTATTCAAAAATTTAATGAATAATTTTTACTCTAACGCTGTTAACTTGAAACAGCGAAATGATATTGTAGATAATAAACAATTAAATCATATAATAAAACAATTAAATCATAAATTATAAATAATCAAATTGTAAAAACAGATAATTTGTATTATTCAAAAATTTAATGAATAATTTTAATTCTAACACTGTTAACTTAAAACGGCGAAATGATATTGTAGATAATAAGCAATTAAATCATATAATAAAACAATTAAATCATAAATTATAAACAATCAAATTGTAAAAACAGATAATTTGTATTATTCAAAAATTTAATGAATAATTTTAATTCTAGCACTGTTAACTTAAAACGGCGAAATGATTGAAGTATGGTCTAATTGATGAAAAAGAAATATGGAAAAGAATTTTTTGAACCATATTTCATGTCTCTTGCCAAGATTATTCCTTCCTAAAATTTTTTGCTTGCATATATTTATTTATCGGTTAGTTCTTTGAAATTTATTGATTAAAAAAAGAATTCTTTTTTTTTTAACATTCCTAAAATATCCCAAACCATTTTAAATTATGATCATTTGGGAGTAACAAATTCTTTTCGGTTTCCTTTTCCGTTTTCCTTTCTCTCTCTCTCTCTCTCTCTCATATATTTGCATCTATTTATTCATATTCAAAAATTTACATTTTAGCAAAATTGAACAATTTAACGGAAAAATTTTTTGCCAAACTTTCATTTTATTTAACAATTTGTTATGTCAAAGATTATTTTTTCCATTAATTAATTATCAAATTTAATTTAATTAAGCATAAGTGAAATTTCATCTAAATTCTTTGTCGATAATTTAATTTTAGTTGAAGCTTAAATTTTTGATAAACAATTTCCAAATTTATCACTCTTATTTTGTTTATCATATCTGTTAACAAATAGTTGAATTCAAAAAACATTAAGTATTTATTATCAAATTTAATTAAATTAAATATAAGCAAAGTTTCATCTAAATTTTTTGCTTAAAATTTAATTTTTGTTGAAGCTTAGATTTTTGATAATTTATCACTCTTATTTTGTTTATCATATCTGTCAACAAATAGTTGAATTCAAAAAACATTAAATAAATTTTAAGCATATTTCAATGTGATTTAGCTTTCGAAGCAATTATTATTGATTTTAATTAAATTTTAATTGTTATTATCAATTGTTTTTTTTGTATAGA